ATGGTTTTGGAGCCTAAGATTGGATCACAGCTCCCCGTTTCCATTCTGGTTCTCCAGGTCTTCAGAACCTCCCCATGATGTTGTATAACGGGGTGGCCAGGATTCAAGGGGTCTAGGGAAGCACCCCCTTGCCGACACTCACCTGGGGTCGTTGGGCATAGAAGGTGACATTACGGCCATGGTCAGAGATCACTGCTCCCTAGCTGGCCGTGCTCAGGGTGGCCACAGAGCTGCAGGTCCAGTGAGTTCTGCCAGCTCCAGGGGGGTCCAGGAGGAAGGAACAAGCCATGCTAACTGGCTCTCTTGTCGTTGAGACCCAACTCCCCTAAGCCAGGGGGTGACAGAGAGCTAGCGTCTGGGCCTTTAGTCCCCTTCCTCCTGCCCATGTGTCCCTAAGATGGCCTTTGTGGCATGCAGGGCTTTGACCTTGACTCTGCGGTAGCCCTGAAGCCCTCCCTCTCTGACAGCGAACCTAGACGTCCATCTGTCACTTGGTACAAGACCTCTTTGACTTCCTGCAAGCCAGGTCCCCACGGGCAGGATGACCTTCATTTCTGACCCACTCCATCCCGTTTGGCCTTGTTATTTCACGATCATTTAAAACCAGTGGCGATACATCAGACACTAGAAAAGCAATATGTCAATCAATGGAAGGGTAACTGATGTGATACAGCAATCTGTATACGGGGTAAAGTTGGGAGTTCATAACCCACTTGAATCAAACTGTGAAAGATGATGTATTAAGAACTGTGTAATGTTTTGAACGACCAACAATAAAAAAAAAAATAAATAAAACCAGTGGCGGCTGGACGCCAGGTGACCCAAACTGAGATGAGGCTGGAAAGCGCTGGGGGTGGGTGGGCGGTGGCGATCCCGCAGCAGGGGGATTCTCCTGGGAAGGAAAGGGACATGCAAGGACAGGTACAAACAGCGGTGACAGGGCCTTCCCTGGAATGGGAGACCTGGGGTGTGGCTCGGCTTCCCAAGGGTGGGAAGTACATGGGCTTCCTTCCGTGAGTTTGACTGGCACACACACCCCCAGCCTGTGCGTGGCCGGAGAGGGCTGCCCATGTCCCCACAGTGTCCCAAAGCCTTTTAGAAATTCTTCATCGGCTCTTCGAAGCTCTGACAATATGTCGCTTAACTTGCTGATGGATGATTCCCCTGAACAATCAATATGGGCTTTTATTAACCTTCAGATTAACTTCCGTCCTCAAACCTCTTTAGATTCCTTCCTTCTGTCCGGGTCCTTCTCCTCCTCCTCCTTCTCCATCCCTCTTCCTGGTTCTCCTCCTCCTCCTCCTCCTTTTGGTTGCCTGGCTTCATTGCTCCTTAATCATTTTGCAGCGGAGGGCATTGTTGACACAATATTTCGGATGAGCCAACAATAAATAGGGTTCCATTGGCCATTCAGAGGACCGAGGGGTGAGCTGGTTAGGCTGATGCACAAGGCCAGCCTCCCTCTGCCCGCAGAACCTGACCGCCAACAGGAAGTCACAAGTACTCCCCCTTCTAACCCTTTCCTCTCTGGCTCCCTGGGAATTCAGTAGAAATCCTATCCTTAAGGGTTTACAAAATTGACCGTTCTGTGTCTTAGGGGTGTGTGTGTGGGGTGTGTGTGTGTGTGTGTGTGTGTGTGTGTGTGTGTGTGTGTTTAGGTTTCTATTGTGGATTGTCTTTCATTTAAGAAATCTTGTCTTCAATAGATGCCCGTGATGGATTCTAGCTGTGGACATTTCCTCATCTGTTCCCAGTCTGCCACTCGGTCTCCTTGACCTGTTTTCTGGTCGTCTGTTCTTCTTTCGTTTTAAAATAGCTCTGAATCAAGCCAGTTGTTCTGGCAGAGTCTGGACACTTCTGATTTTATTTCTGTCTCTTTTTCTTTTCAAAACTTCCCTCTATAATTTGAGTGTCTTCCTAAGGATTATGAATGTGACTCTTGTTTCCTTAACATCAGAGCTGTGATAGTTTTAAAAAATAGTTAAAATTAAAGGAGGAGGACCATCTATATCAGTGGAAGAGCTGAAACTGTAAAACTTTTGGAAGAAAACAGGGGGAAATCTTTAAGACATTGGATTTGGTGAGGGTTTCTTAAATATTATACCCCCACACATAGGCACCCAAAGAAAAGTTGCTAAATTGGACTTGATCAAAATGAAACACTTTTTGTGCATTAAGACTATTAAGAGAATAGAAACACAACCTATAGAATGAGGGAAATATTTTCAACCCATATAACTGATAAGGACTTAATATCCACCATAGGTAAAGATCTCTTACAACTCAACAATAACAAAAAGATAATTCAATTAAAAAAAATTGGGCAAAGGACTTAAATAGACATTTCTCCAAAGATAAAATTTTTCCAAAGGGCCAAAAAGCCCATAAAAAACCCCTCAATATCATTAGTCATCAGCAAAATGCAGACTAAAACCACAGTGAGCTACCACTTCATACCCACATCCTGGTCACAATGAGAAAAATTGGAAATAACAAACACTGGCAAGGAAGTGGCGATGTTGGACCCGCCGAGTCTTGCTGGTGGGATGTAAAATGGTGAAGCAACTATGGAAAACAGTCTGGTAGTTCCTCAAAAGGCAGAAGCGGGACGTGGTGACGCATGCCTGCAATCCCAGAGGCTTGGGTGGCTGAGGAAGGAGGATTACCCATTTAAAGCCAGCCTCAGCAATTTAGCAAGACTCTGTTTCTAAATTTAAAAATCTTATAAAAAAAAGTGGGGGGACCGGGGATGTGGCTCAGTGGTTAAGCACCCCTGGGTTTGATCTCTGGTACCAAGAAAAAAAAAAAAAGCCGAACATAGAATTATCCAGCAATTCCATACCCATATATATCTCAAAGAATCGAAAACAGGGATTTAAACAGATACTTCTACATCCATGTTCATAGCAGTATATTATTCAGGAAAACCAAGAGGTAGAAGCAACCCAAGTGTCTCTAGATGGACGGATTAAAGGAGCACAATGTCATCTCTATACACCATGGCATGTTCTTCAACTATAAAAAGAGGCTGACACAGACCAAACCAGGGGACATTATACTAAGTGGAATAAACCATACACCATGGACAACTATTATGCAGTCCCCTTATTTGAGGAAACTAGACCTGGAGGATTGGGCAAGTAGAATGGGGGTTGTCAGGGATGGGGAGGGAGGGGAGGAAGGGGGTGCAGGGTTCCATGTGTTCTGTTTGAAGAGTGCAGGGTCTCTGTCTGGGGTGAGGAGAGTCTGGGGGTGGGTTGTGGTGTTGGCTGCATGACATCGTGACTGTGCTTAATGCCACTAACTTTCCATTGCTACAATAAAAATAAAATAAAAAATAAAACAAAAAATAAAATGCCAAAAATAAGAGAGAAAAAAATGAAAGAAAATAAAAAAGAAGGAGAATCCCTTTCCATCAGTCCTTCAAGGTGCTAAGGGTGTCCCATCATCTTTGCCTTCTTCTGGAGGAATATTTGAAAAATTCTGTCACCTGTAGGCATTAAAGCAGCTTCAGTAGCAATGGGTCTTATTGATAAGGCCCCCTCAGATTTTTTTGGGGGGTACTGGGGATTGAACTCAGGGGCACTCGACCACTGAGCCACATCCCCAGCCCTATTTTATATCTTATTTAGAGACAGAGTCTCACTGAGTTGCTTAGCAGCTCACTTTTGCTGAGGCTGGCTTTGAACTGGAGATCCTCCTGCCTCAGCCTCCCAAGCTGCTGGGATTACAGGTGTGTGCCACTGTGCTTGGCCCTTAGATTATAATGGGTATGAACATAAGCTTTACTTTGGCCAATACAATTTCTGAGCATGGAAGTGTCTGCTTTTTAGATTCCATATCAACAAATGTATTCTAAGAGGGCTGACGCTATCAAAGAAACCTTGATGTTTAATAGGTCCTAGAGTTCTTCTGTAAGAGCCAAGTTCATATCCTCAACCTGCCCAAAGTGGTCTGATTATAATTTGAACTTCCTTAGGTTTGTGGGCCCAGTTGAGGTCTTGGTCTAATTTTCTCTCTCTCTCTCTCTCTCTCTCTCTCTCTCTTTCTCTTTTTAGTACCGGGGATGGAGCTCAGGGGCTCTCAACCACTGAGCCACAACCCCAGCCCTTTTTAATATTTTCTTTAGAGACAGGGTCTCACTGAGTTGCTTAGGGCCTAAGTTACTGAGTCTGGCTTTGAACTTGCGATCCTCCTGCCTCAGCCTCCCAAGATGCTGGGATTATAGGCATGTGCCACCACTCCCAGCTCTATTTTTAAATTAGCTCTTCTAATTTATAGATATATATGACAGTAAAATCCCTTTGATAAAATTATACAAGCATGGAATATATCTTATTCTAATTAGTATCCCATCCTTGTGGGTGGGCATGATGGTGGGGTTCACTTAGGTATCTTCATATGTGTATATAGTAAAATTGTGTTAGATTTATTTTACTGTCTTTTCTATTCCCATCTCCCTCCCTTCCCTTTGTTCCCTTTGTCTAATCCACTGAGCTTTTCTTCTTCCCCTCTCCTTTATTGTGGTTTAGCTTCCACATATCAACAAAAACATTTGGACAAATCAAAAAATTAAATAACCCAGTCAATAAATGGGCAAAGGAACTGAACAGACCCTTCTCAAAAGGAGAAGTATGAATGATCAACAAATATCTGAAAAAATATTTAACATCTCTAGCAATGAGAGAAATGCAAATTAACACTACACTGAGCTGGGTGCGGTGCTGCCCGCCTGTCACCCCAGCGGCTAGGGAGGCTGAGGCAGGAGGATCGCGAATTCAAAGCCAGCCTCAGCAATGTGAGGCCCTAAGCAACTCAGGGAGACCCTGTCTCTACATAAAATACAAAATAGGGCTGGGGATGGGGCTCAGTGATCAAGTGCCCCTGAGTTCAATCCCCGGTATTCCCCCCCGCCACCCCCCCCCAAAAAAAACTACACTGAGATGTCATCTGACTCCAGGCAGAGTGGCAACAATCAAGAATACAAGTAACAACAAATGTTAGCGAGGATGTGGGGGAGAGGGACCGCTCACCCATTGTTGGTGGGGCTGTGAGTTGGTCTACTTTTCAAGGGGATTCAGCCATTGTGGCCGTGGACTTTGACTTGGAGTACCTCCTGTCTCTGCCTTCTGCTGGATCCACGCCTCTGCCTCGGGTCTCTGTCTTCCTTGGAGGACCTGAACGTGGCTGTAGAATCTGCTGCCTGGGAAGGAAGAACATGAAGAGCTAAGGGACAGACGGGGAAGCCGAGAGCCAAGGGGCTTCCAAGGTCCAGTGGGTGAGTGAAGGCTCTCTCCCCCACGTGGGACCCTGGGGACGGGCTCCCGGGTGACTTCCTCCTAATACTGTTTCAGCGGTCCCTTTGTTTTCTCCAAGCTTGCAGATTCCCACCTTTCATTCCCTGCCTTCTCCGATGGCCCCTCCTCTGTTCCACGCTGTGGCTGACAGACCCTCTGTGGCCCTGAGGGCCCTTCTTTGAGTGAGTGCATGGTCTCAGTTTACCAAGCTGCTCTGGGGAAAGCTGCAGGGGCCTGGGCCTTAAGGGCTTGGCTTCACCGTCTTCCGACCTCCTTCCCACTCGGGTGGTGGCCCCTGCTTGGGAGCCCATGCAGAGGGTGAACTGACCTTGGAGGCTCGCTCCAGCTCCAGCTGGCTCCTGCCACCATTGTCTTCCCTCCCTCCAGACCTGTCCCTCTGCTCCATCCTGGCAACTCCGCATGCTGTGTCCCTGCCGGGAGTTGGATCCCCAGGAACAAGCAGGGGTCCACCGGGGGAGCCGCGGGCCTTTGGAAGGAACTGGTAAGGACGGCATCAGCAGCTGCAGGCTGGAGGGAAATGCTGAGTTGAAACCCTTGCTCTCATCTGATTGGCTAACCGCACACACTTCAGCTTTCCTACCAGGCTTGGTACTTGATGGTGAAAGAGGAAAAAAAGCTTTCCTTCTATCAATATTTCTAACCTCCTATTCATTACTTCTATTCTCTCTCTCTCTGTCTTTTTTCTCTCTGGGTACTGGGGATTGAACTCAGGGGCACTTGGTCACTGAGCCCCATCCCCAGCCCTATTTTGTACTTTATTTAGAGACAGGGTCTCCCTGAGTTGCTTAGCGCCTCACTTTTGCTGAGGCTGGCTTTGAACTCAGGATCCTGCTGCCTCAGCCTCCTGAGCTGCTGGGATGACAGACGTGCACCATCTGCGCCTGGCTCATTACTTCTATTCTTTTGAGAGGTTTGGGGATGCATGCTCCAGGCAAGAAGGGGCAAGGAGACGTAAAACATCTGTCACACATCTGTTGGAGTTGGGGCTTTTGGTCCACATGCGTCCTGGTGGATGGTTTCCACGTGGAGGGCCTCTGGTACTTTGGTGACTTAGGAATTCTCCTCCCCAGGGTATGTGCTTGGCTCTCTAATGGACGGGTGGGAGGTGCCAGGGGTTCGTGCTAAAGGAGCAATCCTTCTCATGGGAAGGGTGGGGATTGGTGGGGAATGTCCCAGCTTCCTTGCCCCTCAACCCCGTTCGGAGGCATGTCCTACACAGTCCCTCAGACGACCACCCCCCACCTGGGATGCCCCCCTCATCCCCAGCAGGAACCTGCTCATTGTCATGCACCATCTTTCCTGGGTCTGGGGGGCGGCAAATGAGGGCACAGCCAGGATTCGAGACCATGCTTGGGAGGCTCCTGAGTGTGTGCCCCCATCCCAGGCTGCTACAGGCAGAACCTCTGGTGGGGCTCTGCAGACCTGCCCTCTGGTCCTTTTTCCCCGGCCACATGGATGGGTGGGCCTGGGCAGACTCCTTGGTGGCCCTTGATCTAAATCTTATTTGCACCCTCTCCCCTACTTTCTGCATTAGCTGTTCTCTTTGCCTGGAACCTTCTTCCTTCAGTTTCTCCACTGAGACCATCATCAGATCTAGTGATTTGGCAGAAGGACTTAGAAAAGCTGGTTCATAACAGCCAAAGGGAGCAGACTGAATTCACAATGGTAAAAGGCAATTGGGGACGGAGTTGGGAGGTGCCCGGGACAAGTTTTCCTTTGTTCTCTCCTGCAGAATTGTTCGGTCAGCACTTGGTTCTCCCAGCAACAAGGTGGGAAGACACCCATGACTCACTGTCGACCAGGGAAGCTCACCCACGGGTGGGGGGCCGGAGTTTTTATTGAGGGTTGGTCATGTAACGCTGAAGCACCCACGTGACTGGCCTTAGTCACTCAGCCTCTAGTTCCTGCAGACTGATACCCTGTGGCCAAGACCCCCACCATAATTCACACTGTTGGCATCAGCTACCTGGTGTGGCCTATTAGTCCCAGGTATACAAGATACTCTTACCAGGTGGGAGATGCCCAGGGCTTAGCACATCCTTCCCAGAAGGTGGTCAAGGGCCAGGGTTTGGACAACACAGGCCCCTGTGTTAACCCTTCCCTGCGTATTCTCCAAGCTCAGCACACCATGAGCTCCTCACCAGGGCCTTTGCCAGCCACGTCACCTGTCACCTGGATGATCCTCTGTCACTGCCTGCCACTTCTCCTTGGTGAATTTTCATTGCTCATCTGACCCCTGTGTATTTCCCAGTTTGTTTATCATCCCTCGCCCCCAATGTACGTTCTCTGAGAACAGAGACCTTGCTCCTCGTCTTCTCTGCTGAATCTCAAGTGCTCAGAAGGGAGGATGGCAGGGCACGGACACCTAAGAAACCCTCGGGTTAACAACACGTGGAATTCTAGAATCTTCTCTGGCTCTCAATACCATGAATCAAGGGAATTGACTCACATGTTCCTAACTAGATTTCTTCCCACATTTTTTTTTATTGGTGCCTTATAGTTGTATGTACTGATGGGATGTTATGGCTTGGAGGTGAGGTATCCCCCCCAAAGCTCACATTGCAGGCAATGCAAGAAGGCTTAGCGGAGAAATGATTGGGTTGCAAGAGCCTTAACCTAATCAGCGAATGGATCCCCTGATGGGACTAAGTGATTGTAGTAACTGAAGGTGGGTAGAGTGTGGCTGGGGGAGGTGGGTCCCTGAGGTGCATGCCTTTGGGGTCTATATTTGGTATCTGGTGAGTGGAGACTCTCTCTGCTTCCTGATGATCCTGGGAGCCTCTTCCCTCCATCCCACTCTTCCGCCATGATGTTCTGCCTCACCCCTGAGCCCCGAGGAATGGAGCTGGCTGTCTATGCATTGAACCCTTTGAAACTTTGGAAACTTCCAATAAATTTTTCCTCCTCCAAAATTGTTCTGGCTAGTCTTTAAGTCCCAGCAGCGGGGAAAAAAGCTAATTAAACGTGAGATTTGTCGTTACCTATTTGCACATGCGCATGACATACGATATAACAATATAATTTGGCCAAGATCACTCCCTAGCGCTTGCCTTCTCTCTCCTATGTAGATTTTGAGTTCTAATAAGGAAAGAATATTTTTTTTCCCCTAGGATTATTGCACCTGAAAGTCCACATGACTGTTTAGACAAGAGCAGCTGCCTGAGATACACTTGCTGAAGGAGCGACTTCTCCCTCGCCTCCCACGCCTCTCTCTCCCCTTCCCTCCTCTCTCTTCTTTCCCCGTGTTGTGGATATGAACTTTGAATCATGCTGCTTTCCTCATCTGGGGTTGCATCAATTGTTTTAAGCTTTTTTTGCAACGAGCTGGTTCTTTCTGAGGTGACAAGCCTGTCCCCTAAGAATGTAGCTCTCTGATGACTTATCTCTGGCAGGAGGTTCAGAAGATCTCCACCCAAAGTGCATCTTGCTTGAGTCTCCCCTTCCTCTGCCTTCCTGCCCCAGTTAGCTTGGACACCATGTGGATTCAGGTCCTCGGGCTGCCACCGCCAATTCCTACCAGGATGGCTTGAAACAGCAGAAATTTATTCTCTCCTGGTTCTAGGTCAAGGTGTCGGCATAACCCACTCCCTCCGTAAGCTCTGGGGGAGGATTCTTCCTGCCTCCCCCAGGCTCTAGAAGTTCTTGGAGTTCCTTGACCTGTGGCCCTGCACATCTAACCTCTGCCTCTATCTTCATATGACTTCTTCTTTGTGTTCCTCTGTCTCCAATCTCTCTGTCCATCCTCTGGTCACTGAATTGGGGAGCCCACCCCTCAATCCAGAATGACCTCCTAATTAAGATCCTTAACTCAGGTCTGCCAAGATTCAATTTCCAAATAAGATCACATCCACAGGTACTGTGTTAGGACTTGGACAGATTTTTAGCGGGGGTGGCGGGGGAGGGGGGGGTTCCTCTTTAACCCAGTACACCACTCATTTTGCCTTGGGCCACAAAACTTGTTTGAACCAATTCCTCTTTCAGGGTTTGGCAGGCAGCTGGGTCGTGCGTGCGGGGCTGGAAAATGAGTTGCACAGACTCCCAACTTCCCTTTCGGTTTATATCAATGAACTTTGTCATTAAATGCGCTCTTCTTCCTGACCTTGACTGTCCTATTTAAACTTAACACCTCTTCCCAGAAACTTCTGAATTTTAGCTCCAGGCTCCAAGCTTAAAATAGGATGTCAGGATGTCTCACAAATCTGTAGACGGTATTGGGCGAGGGAAGGGGAGACGGGGCTGTGTCCGGCTCCTGGTAGTGTACGTTAGGGCCCTGTATGCAGTAAACACACACTAAATTCCTTCAGATGACTCTGAACTTGACGTTAAAAGCATAACCTGACCAGGAGAGCCAGAATTTGTATTTTCTACACCCTGGGAAACTGTCTGGTGGGACACAAGTTATGGCAGAAGAAATGTATACAGAATCAGAGAAAGTCCAGGGGACAGATGGCTGGAGGAAGAGAGATCTGTCAATTTGTTCCTTTAGCTAAAGCCAAAAAAAAAAACAAAACGGTGAGAAAACAAGAGGTACTCCCCTCCTACCCCCACTCCTGGGGTGTAATGATTTTCAAGTGTGCATTTCAATGCGAATTTTTTATCTTTCTGGTGTGTCGTTTGGGCATATGGGTATGCCTCTGTTTTGTTATTGAAATGTATCCTCTTTCATTTAATTTGGAAATTGGAACACCGGGCAGGTCACAAGCAACCTAGTTTCTGCCTCTTTTAGCTTAAATTGACACTCAGTTACAGAGACGGAGAACAGTGAACTGCAAATCCCTACTCTCAGCCCCGGGGCTAGGCATGAGAGTTCTCAGAAACTTTATCAAAAAATCGAATCTCGACATCTCTTCTCTGTGGTCAAGGACGGGGACCTTGAGCAAACCTATTGTCTGTTTTTGCAATTCTGCACAAAGCTTTATGTAAACTGGACTCCGTGAAATAATTTCCAGATTGCAAATCGAAACGTATGCCCTCATATGGAAATGCATATTCTTTACATCAAAACACTAAGCAGATTTAGGGTTACTTTCCCCGTCTTAAGGCAATTGCTCCCATTACCTGCAAAGTCCACCAGTGTTCAATTCTTTCTTGATACTCCTAGCATTCTGCAAACATCTCACATCTTGTTTCCTACTTTTCCTTCCTTCCTTGCTTCCTGTTTCGCATGTCACAGCCTCCTTATTCTCGGTTCTATTCCTGAATCTTCTACATCCACACGGGCTTGTGTCTCTGCTCGGGCTCCTACGCCCTTGAGCATTGTTCACTTTCTTCCTCTGGGTGGGAGACTCGGACACTCTTTTCCCAGACAAGGTTTGGCTCCCCACTCTTGATCTTTTTACTAACGGGCTTCCAAAACCATTTGTAGTGAAGCCTTGTGTGGCTCAGGCTTGGTAATTCCCCAAGACAACAAAGGCCGCTTAGAATAAAAGACACATCCAATACGATGATTGGAAAAGAAAAAAAGGAAATGAGAACCATTCAAAGGAACAAATAGGCTTCCTCCAGGACTAAGTCACTGTAATGAAATGCTAAATCCATCACCGGGGACTCCTATTAGCCTGGGCAAACGAGGGAAATAGAAGCTTTGTGCAAGTCGCATCATTTAATAGAGAAGAGAGCTGGTCTGCTTGTCATTGGAGAGAGGCCCTTTCTGGTTTTAAATTATAGAAGGGACTTTTCAGGTGGATGCTGAATGAGGGACACCGA